AAAAAAAAAAAAAAAAAAGAAAGAAAAAAAGAAAAAAAGAAAAAAAAGACTCTCTTTGTAAAAGCTTAACCCTCCAATCCATTAATTTCTTTAGATGCAAGAAAGAGACCTAAATTTGCATAAAAAAATGAAAATTGCACCTAACGTGAAGAGAATCTGATAAACTGCATTATGCGTGTGCTGTGTCTGAATCCCACTAAATTTAATTAAAAATATCGAACGAAAAAAAAAAAAAAGAAGAGAAAAAGACAATAAAGAAATCTAAACCTATACATGATTTTATTTTCCGTTTTACTACGTTGGGTTAATTTTTTTTTCTTCTAAGATTATCAACTACTACCACTCTATTTAATCACGCGCGGTGGAGAGTTTGAATATTACTAATTTTCTCTCTTTCACTATTAAAAAATAATATTTTACCAACAAAAATATAATTGACAGTTAAAAAGCTATCAATTATACTCATTAATTAACAAAATCTCTATTGATTATAATAATATATCAATTATATTAATTTTTTTATTGTATAATTGACAAAAAATATAATCGATAAAATTTTTATCAATTATATGAATATAATTGACATCTTTTTGGCCTTCTATTATAAATATTAATTAAATAAATATATAATTTACAAAATGTTTTCGAATGATTATGCTATACTATTTTTAAAATAGGAGGTTCCAAGAGCATAACTGCTTACACAATCGGCAATATTCATCTACAGGCTTTTGTGCCACCCCAAACTAGAGGTCCTTTTTCTAGAAGATTTAATTTTGACTGATTTAATTACATATCACCCCATGGTTAGGGATATTGGTATTTAATATTTTTACTATCTATGTTCATGTCCATGTTCATTTGAACATGTATTTATAGATACTTTAGCATATATTTTGTGTGTATATAATGACTAAACTAATTATAGACGTGTAGAAGTAAAATTGATAATTTAAACAAAAAAAAATATAATATTAATAAAAAAAGTAATCTCACATTTGATAGTGTTAAAGTTTTACTACCAAATTTATGATTTATAAGATATATAATATATTTATAGATGTTATTAGTGGAAAATTAAATATTAACGTATATATTTACTAAGTTTTGATATAATTGACAACCATTATTGGTTGTAGATTATACATGTATAATCGACAGAAGTTTTATCAGTTATATTTACATAATCAATAGTCAATAGTGGCTGTGGATTATACACTGGACTAAAAAAAAAAAAAAAATCTTCTAACACAAAGTTATTGATATTAATATTTTATGACCGTCAACTATCACCCTTTACTTAGGGATATTGATATTTTTTGCTAAAGTTATATATGCTCATGTGTAATGCACATAATTTCTATGTAAACACTTATGTACCATTATTTAGTATATATTTTGCATATATAGAATGACTATACTAACTATAAATGTATAGCATTAGAGTTTATATTAATCAAAATATATAATATTAATTAAAATAAATATCACATTTTATAATATTAATTTTTTTTCAATGGTACTAAAATTTTTGTTACGAAGAATTTGCAGACTAATTTTTAAGTATGTCACTAAGCTACAAACAAATTAATGTATAACATATTGCTTTTGTATAATAAAGTTGTCAATTATACAGATATAATCAGCAATCATAATATGTTGTCAATTATACTCATATCACCTTTTCCATAAAAATAAAAGGTTAAATTTTGTGGTTGATCTAATTTAGAACATAATTGACAACTACTTTAAAATATAACTGACAAAATTTTTATTGAATATATTTAATCTATATATACTGACACATAAACAAAATCAACAAATATTTTTCTCATCTCCTACCTCTCCCATCCTCCTTCCTTTCCCAAGATATTTCACCCCATTTCCCTTCTCCTTTTGCTCTTATCTTCTTGTTCTACTTCTCCCTTTCATTTTATTTTTCTTCTTTCTTCTTTCATCTTCTCCCTTTCCTTCTACCTTTCTAATTCTTCCATTGCGTGTCTTCATCTTTCCTTCTTGTTTTTACTTTTCTTTCATCATTCCTTCTACCTTTTCTATTTTCATTTTTGGTTGCCATCCTTTTACTTTTCCTTTATTTTCTTTCGATCTTTCATCTTAAGGTTTTTATTTTCATTTATTTTTTTTTTTTTTCTTTTTTCTTCCATTTCTTTTTTTTTTTTTCTTATTATTTTTTTTTTATTTTTGCATATTATTAAGCTTAAAATCATTTTTTGAGATAAATTTGTATTTTGATTTATATTTTTCATTCCTTTTACTTGAATAAAATCTTATAATGTATAACAATGCTTTTGTTTTTCCTTTTATAGATTTTTTATTTCATTACAGGTAAATTACTTGTCATTTACCTTATTTTTCCATTGGTTTTCTTAATATTTGAATATTATTTTTATTTTTCAATTTTTCTCAAAATTATTTTATATATATATTGTTATGACACTTGATTGATTTTATCATTGAATTTATTATATTGACTTTATAATTGAATTAATAATTGTTAAATTAAAATTTTAATTTTACAGTTTTTTAATTCTAGATTTTTTAATTATTGGAGCAAATATAATCAACAACTATTTTGGTTGATTATACTAGGTTTAAATATTATTTTGGTCCCTCAACTTTTCATTTTAATTTTAAAACTATCCCTCAACTTTAAAATGTATCAAAATTATCTTTAAACTTTTATTTTTGATAAAAAAATCCTTCTATTAATGAATAGGTGGCATGTTAAATAAACAGGAGGCACATTAAGTTGCCAAAAAATGCCCCTTTTTTTAAAAGAACAATGATGTGGAAAAAACACATGCATAAAGTGCGCTGAGATGGCACTTTTTTACACGTGGCATTTTAATTTTAAGATACAATTCATAATTAATTAATAATTAATTATAATTTCCAAAAGTAAATCTTCTTCTTCCTTACTCCTCAATCCGATTCTTCTTCTTCTTCTTCTATTTTTTTTTTCTTGTTTGCTGCAAATTTGTTTTTTCTTGTTTGCTGCAAATTTGTTTTCCTTTCTCCTTCTCTAAGCTTCTCCCTCCTCCACCATTCCTCCTCCGTTCCTCCCATATCTCTTCCTCGTCAATCTCCCCAGTTCATCCCCTTCCCCAGTACATCCCCTTCCCCAGTACATCCCCTAGATCTAACAGTTTTCATTAATCTCACCTCAATGACAGCATATCTAGATCCAATCAGAACCCTGCACCAACATCGACCAAGCCCAAAACTTCCACCCTCCTCACCTCCAATATTCGTCCCCATGCAGTCCATTCTCAAACAACTCAATTGTTTCCTTTCCTCTCTATTTCTCACATCAACCAAGCCCAAAACTTTACCTTTCTTATAGATCGCCAAATTTGAACTAGAAAAGTATAAAATCCAACCCTCAATTGCTTCATTTCCTCTCTATTTCTCACATACCCAACTGAAATTAATTACGAAATTTACAAAGAGATAAAAAACCCAAACTTATAACAATCAAAATAAACATCAAACAAGCCAGATCTAGATCTAAGGATCCAAAACACTTTGAATCCAGATCGAGTTCTCACTTGCGAAAAGCCATCAGGTATTCGAACACAGATCAACAGAATAGAGAAAAAGAAAAAGAAAAAGAAGATGAAGAAGAAGGGAGGAGAGAGAAAGAAGAAGAAAGAAGAAATTGACAAAGGATGATGAAGATGAAAATCAAACCCTGATCTAATTAAACCAGAGGAAAGGGAGTTGGGTGTGTGAAATGGGAAAGAAGGAAGAAACTGGACAAAGAAAAAGAAAATGTCAGAGGGAGAAACCAGATCTAGAAGCCAAGGGAAGAAGATAAGTAAGGGGCATTAAGGTAATTTTAAAATTTTATTTAATAATTATTTCAATTAAGTCCATGTCACTTAATTAAAAAATTTTCACATAAATTAAAAATGACAAATCATCAGTTTATTTTCCACCTAATTTTAGTATTAAAAGAAAGTGAATTACTTTACAAAGATTTTGACCACGTCAGCATTTAACGGATGGAATGATCATTTTGATACAAAAATAAAAGTTTAAAAATAATTTTGATATTTTTTAAAATTGAGGGACAATTTTAATATTAAAATAAAAAATTGAGGAACCAAATTGATATTTAAACCATTATACTAATATAATCGACATATATTATTCATTGATTATGTTTTATAAAATATAACAAATATAATCGACAATCATTAATTATCAATTGCACTAATATAATTTACAAAAGTCTTATTGATTAAAGTATTATAGTCATTTAAAAATATTTTTATCAATTATATTTATTTTTTATTCTTGTTTATTTGAGAAAGTTGATTATTCATTATGTCTAGTGATTATAATTATAATTAACAAAATTTTCCTTATAATCAATAAAAATTTCTATTGATTAAATCCTGTTCTCTAATAGTGTTTCCCTTCCTAGTCTCCACTCTCCTTCCCCCTCCCCCCTCCCTCCCTCCCCCAACCAACTTTACCACCAAACAAAAAACTACTACTACTAGTGTATTACAGTAATTAACTGGCCAAAAATAACTTTGTATTCTCTATTGTATTTTATAGAAAAGAAATGTTAAATTCAAACCTATAAACCGCCCGGAAACGTTTTTCGCTTCATTCTTCACACAAACTAGTGCAAAGGGTCACTAATACTAAATGAGTTGTGATTTAATTAGTAAATGAGTTTGATCATTAATTTATTAATTATGATTTAGTTGTTTGAAAGGTTAATATAAAAATAATTTTTTATTAATTTTTTGATTTTGACGCGAATGATTTATTTTTAATAAAAAGAGAAATAAATTTCAAATACAAGTTAGCTGCATGTATCAAAAAAAAGTAATTGCTAACCACTTGGCCAGTACCGTCAAGTGTGGAGAACAATTTTTTTTGTTAATTTCGTTCTTACTTTTAATCTTTTGATTTTCAATTTGATTACAGCGAGTAAAGTGTTGTTTGATAACGTTTCTTAATATTTTAATTTTTAGTTTTTATCCCTTTTTTAAAATTATTTTACAATATATAAAATATTAATTAAATAAATATTAAATACATTTTATTTATTTTTAAAATATTAAAAACTAAAAAAAAAACCCATAACTACAACTACAAACCAACACATTCAAACTAAACCTAAAACACTATGACAGCTCTCTACAGCTGCCTTGTTAGCTTCCTCAATTTATTTTTAAAATATTAAAAACTAAAAAAAAAACCCATAACTACAACTACAAACCAACACATTCAAACTAAACCTAAAACAAATGCGCATCTGGAGTATACTTTTAACAAGTACTCTTCATGAA